ACTTGTTAGCATCCACTAGTTGCATCTGATTTGAAAATAAAATATTCAGTAATTTTATGGACTTTATTACATACCATAAATATACAATAGAATCCTGGGAACCAGTTCATTAAACAGAGCGCAGCTGGATATGCCCGCAGAGGTCCAACCCTAAACAGTTGGCAGTGGCGGATCCAGAACTTTTTCATTAGGGGGGGCCCCATCCAGTCATGCTCCAGTGATTCCCTATATAATCAACCAAATTTTTCCCACAAAAGGGGGGGGCCCAGGCCTCCCCCCTGGATCTGCCTATGCTTGGGGAAAAATAACTCGGAAACATACATAAAATCTGAAAATTATATAAATCGAAAGGGAGCTCATGTCAATAGATATAAACAATTCATCAAAGTTTAATACAAACTGGTCATATTTTGAGTTATTGTCCAGCATGTCAACGACGGAACAGACGGACAACGGTATACCATAATACGTCCCGTTAAAGGGCGTATAAAAAATATATCCGGGCTGACAGTTTACTTTTTAATAAAAAATGCGGGACAAGCATGAGAAATTAAAAGTACCGACAGGAAACAGGGAAAATAAAAAAGGGGAAACAGGAAGTACCCTTATTATCTAAACACGAATAAAACGCCAAAACACCCGAAATAAAAATAATTGTTGGTGTTATTTATTCTATATGAGTGCTTAGTTCCATTGAGTATAGGACTACTTTGTTTGCTTGTCAATAAAATAAATGTTCAGTAACTGTTTGGATACAGGACTGTTTCAAATTTTGCGAAACTAAAATTTTGAATTGAAAATTTATCACTTTTTAACATTTTTATATTCATCTAGTCATTGTCATTGAGTATGCTTGATCTATTGTGTTCAATCAAACCAATTAACCGGTACCAGCAAATGTGTGGAAAATGAGTAATTTTGTGGTTTATATATTTTTAGGACTTGTTTACATTTTTAACTTTTTCATTGGTAACATTTTGGGGATAGAGCTCACTTTATATCTACTTTCTGTCAATTTTGGACTATGACAGCAAGACTTACTTAGATACAATGTTTCTAAAAGTGTAATTGAGTTATAAAATGTACTTTACCACACTGAGTGAAGGTTATTAATTTTGATGAAACCTGTCGATCTTCCTGTCTGCTGCAAACAACATGTGTCGCAACCCGCCATTGCTTTCAGAATGAGGCCAACGGTTTTATAGGTTGATCGAAACTGAGACTACTATAACACAGTAGTCTCAGATCGAAAGAATAAAATATTTTACATTAATTTTTATAGAAAATGTTATAGAAATGTTTTACTTTTAGATGGTAGAAATGTAGTAGTAATCATTTTTATAATCTTGTATTCTTTGTCGCTCCAACTGTTAATGGTATGTTCCTCCTATCTAAGGAGCACTCCCACAGGATAAGTTTTAAAATTATTAGAACGTATTTAACAGATTATAATTCAAAGTTCATAGTTTTTTATTTTCCAATTAATGGCCCCTGTCTTGATTTAAGTACTAGTAATTGAGTAACGATTCAGAATTAGAAATTGTCTTAAATTAATTAAGGTAGATCGGGTGTCTAAATTATAATCCATAGATTTTTTTAATAATTTGACAAAATGTAGTTTATATCATGCTTTTCAAAAAAAAATAATAAAAAGAATGGGTCACGGGGCTTATTTTCACGCTACAGGTTGTGCAAAATTGACAGATTTTGTATAGATTATGCATGGAAAACCCAATTTTCTGCCATAAAACGAAAACTACACCATAGAATTTTGAGATAATATAAGAGAAGATAGCTCTAATAGTATGCTTTCAGATAAATAAAAGAAAAAATGGGGTCACGGGACCCGTTTTCTTGCTTCATAATAAAATAGGTAAATTCAAAACACATTCTATTGTAAAAGTAACTTTATCTGAATTATCTGCCCTTACATTTGAGTTGCCTCCCCTTATGTGGCAAAGTTGGAAAAAAAAATAGAATCAAGCAAAAGTATTCTGGTTTTTTGTAAAATACAATTATAGATATGATAAAATATGTCATTTTCTATATTGAATTTAAAATTCTTACACATGAATTACCTACTACTCTCAAAATTTGCACCTTTTATTAAAGATCTAGACCGATTGTTTTCTGGTATTTCAAAATACAAGATGGAGGAAGACACCCTATCTACCTTAAGTGAACCATTAAAACTCATACCACATCTTCTTATTTCTTTCTACATTTTAGTGATGATCGAACATTGTTTTGAGTAAATTTGGATCCAATGAGGCTGATTAAAGCGAATTATAATTTCACTATTTCACTTTCATTAATGATTGAACGAAAAAAAATCCTAATTCAATTGGTTATGTATCTCGTAGCTAGTGCCCCTTTAAGTCTCTACCACCGAATTCGTCATTATAGACGGTTAAATTTGAGTAAACGGAAATTCATGATACTGTTATCTCTTTATAAAACTATTAGTGCAGTAAATGGAAAATAAAACTTTAAAACTTGTATACGTTATAGGCATACGCTAAAGATCTATCACAGAGTCAGCTTGCACACTTGTACCGGCACTTAATTACACTCAGGCTAGAACAGGGTCAGCCAGCACACTTTCACGCTTGGGTATTAAAAGAGATAAACATATAAAAACAAGTAAAACCTAATACTCTTTAGACTTTACGGAAGCATACGCTCTAGCACAGGGTCAACTATAAGTACAATTGCTTATCTTAATTGTGTACACTTGATAACGCCCTAGCACAGAGTAAGCTTCGGAAAAATAGAAACGTGAAACTGCTCAGTGTGAAAAGGGGCAATTGAAAGTGAGACCAGATTTCTATTTTAATGATACAATCTTTTCAATTTTATTGATGAACGATCAATAAACCATATTGATACAATCTTTCAACTATATTGATACATGAATATTAAACATTTTAAATATTAATGTTGCATTTTTATTTGTGTTTCAGCGAAGACTTAATAGTTTCCTTATTAAAACTGTCATCTTCCATCAATAAAGACCAGGTGACCAGGTTTAATATCCACCGTCCATCTGTTTGGGATTGTACCCTGAGGAAACTTAAAAAAAAAGATTTCAATCCACAAAATACCATACTGGTCAAGTTTTCTGACGACTTTGGCGAAACTGAGGAAGGGATTGATCAAGGAGGACCAAAAAGAGAGTTCTTATCCCTGATTTTGGATTTTCTGATGCACTCAAACCTGTTTGAAGGCCCAGAAAATGCTAAAACACTATCTTGGAACAAATCAGGTAAAATTCACAGTTTACCAAGGCTCAATAAAGTCTCCTTTTGGCAAAACAGGTGTCAACCAGTTTTAATTTTGTATCGCATTGTACAGACAGATCACAGACACTGGTCTCAGAATTTTTTCCCCTATATACAACATTACGGTATATAGGACATTTTTTGTCTGAGACAAGACATACAAATAATTTTGTAATGGTCCGTTTCTATTGGGATTTCATTAGTTTTATTAAAATGATATTTAAGCAAAGAAGTGTTAATAAAATTTGAAAAGCATAATTTTTGCCAGCCACATTTTGATGTAGGCACCAATAATATATATACTGTATGAGATATGCAAAATTTAATTAGATGAACATCTTCCTCATGCATCATAAAAATAAGAAAATTTGACAACTATTCGCCAAAGTTCAAATGAAGTGGATGAAAGCAATTATAGACAACCGTACGGCCTTTAACAATGAGAAAACCAATACCATATGGTCGGCTATAAAAGCCCATCCACCATAACCCGACATGAAATATACGAAACAATCCAATTGAGATAACTAACTTGTCTTTTTCAATCGGTTATGGTTAAGAATGACAAGCGAAAAATTAAAAGGTCAACATTAACCTTTGATCTGGACCTAATTTTGATCGATAAATGATATTGATTCCTTATCTGAAGATCGGGAAGTTTATAAGTCACTTACAATGTAATAAATCACTTGCTAGAAGAATTAGTGGAATGTTTTGTTTTATTTATAAATGCCCATGCTGTAAAGAATAGTATGCCACAGATCTTTATTAGATTTTGTTAATTATGTAGTTTCCCTTGAATGATTGAAATATGTTCTTTGTTCTTTGTAGCAAATGACAAGGACCAGTACTTCTATGCTGGTGTGATGATAGCACTATCATTAGTGCATGGTGGACCAGCGCCACATTGCTTTAGTCCAGCATTTGTCCAAGCTCTGGAGAATGGACCTAAAGGGGTTGTAGTATCCCTAGATGACTTGCCTGATTTTGAACTACGAACTCAATTTCAAAAGGTTCGAATTTCTTCAATAGTTACTGATTAAGTAATAGACTGAATTCAAGTCAGTAAAGCTCATTGTTTTATCAACATTTTGCAGAACGTCAATAGGTATAAGAAGATGTGGTTTAGGTGCCAATGAGACAACTCTCCATCCAAGTCACAATTTATAAAAGTAAACCATTATAGGTCAAAGTACGGTCTTCGATATTTACTGAGTTCAAGACCTTGGCCTTAGTTCACAGATCATCCCGAAATTTATAAAACACATGTATAAACATAATAGGGATTATCTATCATTCAATTATAGAAAGCCCTTTCAAAGCTCAGAGCGAGATATATTATTTCAATTCTATTTAAAAAAAAAAAATTGACATTAATATATTTTAAGAGCATGTACAATTTGATATTTTATTTGTCCTGGGACACGAGGCAAATTTAAATATTTCGCCCCCCCCCCCCCCCTTCCCCCCGATAAACTTTTAAAGAAAAACCCTTTAATCAACCATTAATAATTACACATGACAATATAATAATCACCACAGAATATCTTGATATCGTTTATATTTCCTTTATCAAGAGTAGCATGCTTGAGAAGACCTTTAACAATTTCAAAAATATATATCTTATTATGCCCCAAGTGGGGCATTATGTTTTTTAGGTCTGTACGTCCGTCAGTTCGTTCATTTTCTACATGTGTTCATTCTGCATTTTAATTGTAGGTGTTAAAAGCTAAAACAGTGTCTACTTTCCAAAAGTCATTAGAAAAGATTTCATCCTTCCTCGACTATGCAGGAATAGACTATTTTTCTTGCAAAAATGCAGAGGATGCAGAGATACTTATACAGAAGGCTGTCCATTCCTATCTATTTGACAGGACAAGTCAAGCATTAGAGAGGTGAACAAAATACCATGTTTATTCCTTTTACATTTGTAATGCAACTTTTGAGGCTTATTTACTTAAATTTTACCGGACTAGAATTCGAATTGAGGCTGCAATTTATAATGTTATAAAAGAGCTCAATTCAAAAACGTTAAAATGTAGTGAATGTACAATAACAAAAATGCATATTTGGTCTGCCTTTTGTGGTAATAAGCATTTGAACAAAGTTTTATTTCATTTTCATACAAAATACGTAGATATAAGAAGATGTGGTATGAGTGCCAATGAGACAACTCTCCATCCATGTCAAAATTTATAAAAGTAAACCATTAAAGGTCAAAGTACGCGGTCTTCAACACGGAGCCATATATAATTATATATATCTATCCAACGCAATCATAGGTTTGAATGTTGTTTTCAATTTAGACTTGTTTATATTTTTACTGTTGGGCTTGTATAAATATTTGCCTTCAGGTTTATATGGATCATATAAACCCGAAGGCAAATATTTTATACAATCAAGAGTCTATCCTAAATTGATGTAAATTATATGGCCTTACAAATACCGTTTCGATTCCTAGGCTAACATCATGAAGAGACATCAATTGTCGAAATCCGGATATAGTGTACAAATTTTTGCACCTCGTGTTTGCGGTATACCATCTTTTCCGCAAGTTTATTGTTTTCTGTTTGGTTATAAATTAATAATTAGATCCATTTTGTTACATCTGGTGATCTGTTTATTTAACAATCGCCAATGGCCGTCAGCATGGTTTAAGAACATTAGTTGTTCGACCTGCTAGTCGAATGCTTTTTGTTAAAATATACTTTTTAACTTTTTTTATCTTTTGGAAAATGTTGTTAGTGCTGTATTTAGACCCCTCTACCAACAAATCAGTTTTGAATTCGCACGTATAAAAATTGCGGTTTTTATCCAACGCAATCATAGGTTTGAACGTTGTTTTCAATTTAGACTTGCGTATACATATATATACATTATATACATGTTAATATACATATACTATTATGGCCGACCATACGGTAATGGTTTTTTTTTTCATTGTTGAATGCATTATGGTTGCCTACAATTGCTTACATCCACTTCATTTGAACTTTGGTAGATAGTTGTCTGATTTGGCAATCTTACTGCATCTCCTTATTTCTATTTGTAAGAGAACGGAAACCAATTTTAGGAAGTACGTTCGTACACGCCAACAAATGGAACCCTACTTCAGAATTTAAACAAATAAAACTTGACCAAGGTTTATTTCATTAATATTGGCGAGTATGATATTTATCATGAGCTTGTCAGTATATATACTTTACTGCGAGGGAAATCTTTCACCAATATAATGCAATAACCCTTTTGATTTTGTAGTATGGCATATTATAGACATGATACAAATGATCTAAAAAATATCTGAAAATGACCCCAAAAAATCCAATTTATCTCAGTTTGTATATAAAGGTCTACAAAAAGTTCATTTTTTTCAGATTTAAATCTGGTCTCAGAACATTGGGTGTGATGGAGAATATTGGGAGTCTCAAGAAGCTGTTCCTGTATGAAAACAAAGCATTGAACAGAGATACCTTTGAAAAGGTGTTCAACTATTGTCTTTCAGATGAAGGTAGCAACGACCATCAAACTGAGACAGCAATTGTTTCTTTATGGCGGGATTTCTTAGACGACATTGAAGGCAAGTTGGTAGGGATTTCAAATAAGTGCATTCAATCAGGAACTATTAAGACTTTGATGTTTATTAGATAATGCACATTTACTTGCCTAAGGGGTTGAAGGCATTTCATGAAAATCTGGAATATCTGAGCCAATTGGAACGAATCGTCACACTCAGCCTTAGAATGTCTAGTTTTAAAACCCATGATATCCAATGATGCTGTCAATCAACATATGTGACCGCTATAGAACATTAGTTACAGTTGACGGATACAGGCTCGCTTGAGCCTCTAGTTTGTGTTGCAGATAGTAGTTTTTTTTCGATAAATGTTTTTCCTTCAACTGCATATAGTCCATAATAATTGAAGAAAAAATGAAAATTTTAAACTCTAAAACTAATTGAACATAACTAATTGCGTCACATAAAAATTGTGTCTAAAATTTGTTGGTAACAGCAATTTAAGACAAACTTTGATCCTCGATCAATATAGAGAACAGTAGCTAACATGAACAGGGCAGATGGCTTATTTTCAAACGTGTAATGTATACCATTTAAATGTATATCAACATGCAGACATCTTGTACGTTCGGGTATTTCACATCTTTTATTTTATGGTAATATTCTTTACAAAGCACAACAATGTCGGCATTCACCTCAAAAGCTAACCAAACCTTTAAACAGACTTATTCGGAAAGGATATATTAAGGATTGCATATTTTGGTATTAATATTGATTCACTCATAGGGTCTTTGCATAGGAAATAAACACATTTATTCTAAAACCAGTTATTGGCATGATACGGGTTATGTTCTTCTCATATATTTTATGATGGTATGATACTTAACCCCTTACGGGAGGGATTGTACTTGATTTTCATATAATGAAGACATAATCTTTCAATCAGTTTAATTGAGGTCTGGAGCTGGCATGTCAGTAACTGTTAATAGTCCTTTGTTCATTTATGTATCATTGTCATTTTGCTTAGTTTCTTTTGTTACCTACTAGTATTCTGACATCGGACTCGGACTTCTTTTGAACTGAGTTTAACTGTGCGTATTGCTATGTGTTTCTTTATTCTACATTGGCTAGAGGTATAGGGGGAGGGTTGAGATCTCACAAAACATGTTTAACCCCGCCGCATTTTGTGCCTGTCCCAAGTCAGGATCTGGCCTTTGTTATTCTTGTATGTTTTTTTAATTTTAGTTCATTTATATGTTTTGGAGTTTAGTGTGGTCCATTTTCACTGAACTAGTACACAATTTTATTTAGGGGCCAGCTGAGGACCACCTCCGGGTACGGGATTTTCTCGCTGCGTTAAAGACCCATTGGTGGCTGTGGGCTGTTTTCTGCTCTTTGGTCGGGTTGTTGTCTCTTTTACATATTCCCCATTTCCATTCTCAATTTTATATCAACAGGGTAAAACCATCTGAAACTATAAGGTAGTAGTCTATAGGAGTGTAAATCTATATCGATAAAATTAAAGGTGTTAATAAGTAATGTTATTGACCAAAAAATCACTAACAAATGACAATTTCTTGTATATCTTTCAAAATTAGCAAAAGCAAATTAGATAGTATGTGTAGGGTATATTATAAGTCAATGTTAGTACATGTATACGTCTTTCTGGAAGTAAAGACTTGAACATATTTTTAATATCTTGTGTCTTTTTCAGATGAAGAAACTGATGTGACATTTCAAACCATACTTATGTTCACGACAGGATCAAAAACAATACCACCATTGGGGTTTGATCCTAGCCCATCAGTCACCTTCTGGAAGGAACGATTCCCGAAGGCAACAACGTGCACTAACACTCTTGTTCTGCCAACCTTATCTACCGATTACGACTCATTTGTGCAAAACATGAAGTTCGGTATTTTAAATACACAAGGCTTCATGTTGGAGTGAAATTAAAGAGCTATATTTGTATGAATGCATGACTTGATGTATATGTTTTGTTTGTTCTGCTTTTGTTCTGTAGGTTTTAAAAGTTCTTCAGAGAGTAATTGAATCAAGGGAATTGTGGGTAGTTATCAGAAAATTGCCAATCAACTAAATAAATAGAAAAACTGAATCATTTTGCTTTCTTTTAATTTCTTTGGCCTTTAGCATTTCAGTTTTGTCTCACCAGCACCTCTGTACATAGCCTAAATTTTTGTTTATTACTGAGTTCCTGATCGATGATATCCATTATTTCAATTGGAACTTCTGGAACAGCTAGTGAGTTTTCAACTCCAACATCATCTAAAGTAAGACCAAATCTTTGTAGACCACTATCCAGTCTATCTCCAATGCTTGGATTTACCCCAAATAATTCGGATGTTGGTGTATATCCCGAGCTCATGTTATCCAACATTCCCGACATCCATATTTGTGATGGGGACATGTGTCCCTCAGACCTAATCTTGTGGCCATTCCAGCCATTTCTGAACTCTTCCAGACTTCTGTTTATTGCTGGCAAATAAACATATTGTAGGGCCGAACGGTGGATCATGTTGTCTGGGTCCAAATTTATCACTGGGTCCTCTTCCATCTGATAGAACTCATTATAAAATTTGGAGGTTACCTGGGTATGCATGTCCCTCCATAGCCTCTCAATCCTCTGATTGTGCACCGACTTGCCTGTGATGTGGCTAGTTCTTTGCCTGATCAAATTCATAAACAAGGCAACTTTGGTGTTTTCTCCACCATGATCTGACCTGACTCTGCTTGGTACACCATACGAACAGCACGCGAACACAAAAAGCTGTAGCACAGTAGATGCAGTGTTGTTAATACCACATCTCAGGAAGGTGACGAATCGACTGAAACCATCAATGCAACCATGTGTAGCAAATCCCCATCTAAAAAAAGATACAACACACAAAGTAATATAAATTAATTAAGAAATGGCCGAGCTGCACAGAATTTGTCTATGAAAAAGAAAACTGTCTTGAATGAAAATATACATATATGCAATCGGGAGATAACTGTATTGTATTTTAAGCTTAGATGGCATCAATTTGTGATTTTGCCGGATGGTCGCAAATTAAGCTAACTGGCGACGCGTCATAGGAGCCAGTAAATTGGTATTTGCAACCATCAAATCGTCAATTGATGCCGTTGAAGGTTAAAATACAATATAATTATCTCCATTATAATAAAACTGACAGAAAACAACACAAATTTAAACATTTAAAATCTGTCCTACGTCGTCTGCGCTTGCGCGTATGTCACGTTTATATAGCATCAGTTATGAATTGAATCCATGAGAGTTGGTGACGTTAAAGTTGATATATTTCTGTAAAAACTTCTATGATAAAGAAAATATTAAATGTATAGGTTGAAAACCGTACGAAGAGCTGTTAATTAACATGTATCGTATGAAGTTTCGTCAAAATATGACTTTTTCACAATTTTTCAGTTAAAAATCCTCTAGCATTTCCATTTTGAGTTTTGCTTTCCGGAATGTTTTATGGATATAAAGCATCATTGACAATAAATTAATGTTTGGAGTGCACATCCGGTGCTGTAAAATTGGTACCATCCCAGTTTTATTATCACCACTTGGTCGATGCCTCTGCGGGCGGAATCTTAATTCGCGAGGGTATCATCACCCTAGTAGACAAGTTCTTTAGTGATGGCATGATATACGGACAATTTGTTATTTCAACTTATTTGAAATGGACTGTCACATAACTTTATGAAATCTGCATTAAAACTAAGGAGGTCTCCCTGTTGCATATTTCTGCCCAATTGTGTTTGTATATATGCATTATTGATGTTGAAGCATGTTGATGTCATTCAAATTTGTACCCTCTGGTTTATATAGACTTTGGTAATAATTAAAGATATGCTGCATCACTTTCCCAGGTTAGGGGGAGGGTTGGGATCCCGCTAACATGTTTAACCCCGCCAAATTCTGTATGTATGTGACTGTCCCAAGTCAGGAGCCTGTAATTCAGTGGTTGTCGTTTGTTTATGTGTTACATATTTGTTTTTCATTCATTTTGTGTACATTAATTAGGCCGTTGTTAATTTCTGTGTAATTTGGTCTCTTGTGTACAGTTGTCTCATTGGCAATCATACCGCATCTTCTTTTGTATATGCTTTGCAATACAACTTCATTATCTGAATTTTGGCTTACTTTCGGATGGTTTTGGCTGCATAAAGCTTCCCTCGTCATTTTATTCAATTTTGATTCCCAAATGTTTTGGATATAAGCATCACTGACTCTTATTTAATATAGTTTGTACATGTATGATAAAACGTATATATCTGTAAATGTTGCAGTAAAATCTGAAAAATAGTGGTTTTCCGCCATACGTGATGCAGACCTTACTCCATAGTGGTCAATCAATGTATGGTGAAGACCGTAAAAAGGCGTAAATGAATTTCAGAAATAGGTATCAGTATCTTGTTAGTCAGCAAAGTATTGATAACAATATTGTAATTTCTACAAGACTTTCATGTGTTTAAAAAAAAATACCTGATGAGTTTCATGTGTCCGTCCATGTGCCATAGATGATTTGGTGTTGGTACGCTGTACCTTCTTCTGTGTACTGCCGTAGACCATCTTTCAACACACCCTTCTGGATCAAGACGTCTTAAAGATTCTCTTACTCTTTCTCGTTGTACACATATCCCTCTGGACACTAAGTAACCTTGCATCATCTAAAATTTTTAAAAAAATGCTTCACAGAAAGTGCAAGATAATTGATAATTTTATTTTTGAACAACTTTAACTAAAATATGACGTATATTAGCTAAATCGATTGATATGGAGCAAAGACTGATACTTTTAAAATTTCGTTGCCATAAAAAATTCTCATTGGAAAATAATCTGAACAAGAAGGAATATTGCTGATATGACGTATACATGTAGTGTTTTGAACTTCCTAAATTTGTCTTTGAAACAATCTTGAAAACGCCAATTTTTGAGAAAATATCCAAATTCGGACTCTCTCAAGGACCGATAACTCTGCATGGGAGATTGAAAGTTTTGCGGGAAAATATGAATGCCTACTCAAATCCAATCTATTAGAAAAATCAAATTATCACAGAAGAGTGTCCACCATGCACTTGCACTGGACTATTATTAATACAGTAGAATAGAATGATATACAAAATGGATGAAAATTATATATACATGTAACTGTAATATACAAATATTAATATAATATATAACAACAAACCTAAGTATACTCAGTGATTTGTATCACTTCAATAACATATTTATTACGGTGACAGAGGTTGAATTCCCTGTCATTTATTTATCATCCACGCACGAACTTGTCTAAGAAAAATAAATTTTATCTGTACTTTAACCTCACTTTCAGGTATAGAGATGTGATTCTTTATGAGACAAGTGCTTGTGACCATCCACAAGAACTTGCAGTCATCCGATGTTCAGTACTTCAGTACTTTGATTTATTTTAATATAACTAATACAGGCCGAAAATGGTGTTGATTAGAAATTATAAAATTCTAGTATGTGTGTTCTAGTATAAACTTTTTTTTTTGCGGGAAACACATGCCGTTAATACATGTATATGAGAAATATCATCATCCATGTATGTGTCTTTAAAGTCTTATTAAATATCTTTCAAATAAAATGTTCACAAATTCTTCTGATTTACGCGTCATTCTGATTTATATGAAGATAATTATACCTGCAGTCCTGCTTTTGGAAAAGAAGATTTCAAATCCAGGATTTGGGCATCTAGATCTTCTTTGGTTATGTCACTGTATCTGTTACTTAGCCCCTCGTCTTTTAATCGTCTGTATACAGATTTAGTGGAGCATTTAAAATGTTCAGCCATTTTAGTCCCCTTGAAATTGGCCCCACAAAAAGCTTTCAATTCGTTGGTAGCCATATCTATTTTGGGTCTTCCTCTTCTACCTGTAGTATATATTTTTCATTGAAAAATGACAGTTCATCACCAAAAAATAATTAAATCATGAACACATTTTAGATATTTCGGATAAATAATATCCTTCAACAGTAAGATGTAAAATGAATCTTATCTTGACATGTGGTAGTCAAACTGAAATAAAAATTTAGGATAAACTCTTGAATTTTTAAGAATCGAAATAGGATGAACGGATCATATAAACCCAAAGGCAAATATAATACAAGCCCAAACGAAAAAATATAAACAAGTCTAAATTGAAAACAACGTTCTAGATGATAACCTATTATATATATATATAAATATAACTGTATAAAATCAGAAAGGTTGTCGGGATCATGGCGTATATCATTTATATATTATACATCCTAAGGATGAGTTTGATTCCATCTAGCTCAGTGGTATTTCTTTTAAAAGTTTACCGATTTTCATGATATTTTCTTATTCCAAGGGCCTTGATATGGTCAAAAGTATGTCAACTACACCATAAATCATAGTTAAGCTGTAACTTCCATAACACATCTATATACTAAAAATCAACTTAACATTTGCATGTAAAGCCTTAAAAGATTGCAATTTTGTCTGTTTAACCCCCTATGTTCTAATTATAGTAAAAACGGCCATGTTGGTTGGTCGGCGGCATCATATGATATAAAGTTGAAACTAGACACCCTTAAGCATTATTGTGATCAAATTTGGTTTAAATCGGCCAAGTGGTTTCAGAGGAGAATATTTATGTAAAAGTTTACAGACGTTGAATGACGGACGCAAAGTGATGAGAAAAGCTTTGAGCCAGTTGAGCTAGTACATATTTTCCATTATAAACACACACGAAATTCTAGTTTGGTTTGCTTTCGTTATAACCCTCATATTTATGTTACGATCGTAATCAAACTTGACATTTTCAATTTATTTAAATATAATTTATTTTATATCACAGCAAAATATCAAAATATAATAACAGATTCTAAAAATTAAACAAGCAGATTCCATCTATAATATGGAGATTTTTAGGTTTCATAACGAGTGAGAATGGGATATTATCAGATTCCAATATGACGTCCTTTTTGCGCATTTATTGCATTTCATTGGTTACACTTGTTACACTTTATTTTTGTTATTGGCTTTCCATAATTGCATTATTTGTCTCAAGTGGAAGTAGATTGAAATTCGACAGAAAGAGTTAAGGCCATTTTCCCCTAATTTTTTTTCACATGTAGGTAAATCATTTTTTGTCGAGCCTTCGACTTTTGTCGCAGAAAGCTCGACATAGGGATAGTGATCCGGCGGCTGCGGCTACAGTGGCGTTAGCTAAGTTCTTAAAAGCTTTATATTTTAGAAGGTGGAAGACCTAGATGCTTCATACTTTGTATATAGATGCCTCAGGTTTCCGTCTGTGACATGTCCATTGTCCTTGACCTCATTTTCATGGTTCAGTGACTACTTGAAAAAAAGGTCAGATTTTTTGTAATGTTAATTTCTCTCTTATTATGAGTAATATGATAACTATATTTGGTATGTGCGTACCTTGCAAGGTCCTCATGCCCGTCAGACAGTTTTCAGTTGACCTCGACCTCATTTCATGGATCAGTGAACAAGGTTAAGTTTTGGTGGTCAAGTCCATATCTCAGATACTAGGTCTAGTATATTCGGTGTATGGAATGATTGTCCAACCTGGCAGGTGCCATCTGACCTTTACCTCATTATCATTGTTCAGTGGTTGTTGTTAAGTTTTTGTGTTTTGGTCTATTTTTCTTATACTGTATGCAACAGGTCTACTATTTTGGTGTATGGAATGATTGTAAGGTGTTCATGTCTACCTGGCAGATGTCATCTGACCTTGACCTCATTTTCATGATTTAGTGGTCAAAGTTAAGTTTTTGAGTTTTGTTTTTTTTTCTAATACTATATGCAATATTTTATGATGTACATGTCAGTCTCCCAGGTTTTATTTGACCTTGACCTCATTTTTACGGTTCATTGCCCAGTGTTCAGTTTTTGTGTTTTGGTCTGTTTTTCTTATACTATAAGCAATAGGTCAACTAAATTTGTTGTATGTAAGAATTCAAAGCTGTACATGTCTGCCTGGCATGGTTCATCTGATCTTGACCTCATTTTCATGGTTCATTGGTCAATGTTAAGTTTTCTTGGTTAAGTCTGTTTCTTAGAAACTATAAGCAATCATGTTAAGTTTATGTGATAGTTGTAGTAAGCTTTATATTTACGACTATCAACATAATATCAATGATTAGTAAAAAAGGTGAGACATTTCAGCGTGTGCATTCTTGTTTTTTAATAGCTCGATTGATGCTAGTTGTAGTACATGAAAATACGTCACATCATCTATTTTCACACCTTGAACAGGTATATTCCTACGATAGACAAGACCAAGACTATTGATTTTTTTTTTGATTTTTTTGTTAACACCCCCCCACCCCCACCACTGATTCAAGACCGGTGTCTGTTTAAATGTCTTTACTGGCATATTTCTCAAGCGTATTTAAATGCAGCAGAGTATCTGTTTGTTTTGGCTTTATATTCTGTATATCTGGTATATCCCACAATATCGTAGCTATTTGGGCTCAGCATGCCATAGTTCGGGATCCAGCATATATATATATATATATTTATAATTAAGACCCATTTATTACACCGGGTGATCCGTTTATTTGGCAATCGCCAATGGCATTGTTCGACCTGTTAGTCAAATGCGTTTTGTTAAAATATACTTTTTCACTTTTTTGGTCTTTTGGAGAATGTTGTTTGTGCTGTATTTAAAACCCTCTAACAAGAAATTTGTTTTGCATGCACACGTATATAAATTGCGGTTTTTATCCAACGCAATAGGTTTGAACGTTGTTTTCAATTTAGACTTGTATATATATAATAAATGTAAAGACAGGAATAGGAAATAAGTCAAGAGTATGGATAGTAATCGGAACGCACACAATAAGCAATACATTATTTTTCTTTTTTCTTTAACGAAATGATATATAGTCAAAATGATCCACAATGACTCTATGGTGTAAAGAAACATCCGAAAAAATATGATAGAAACATAACAAAGCACAAAAAAATCAAAATATCAGCGTGAGATTTGAACTCCGTCTTCATTCCAATATATTATTGTCAGATCTAAGCGTTATCGACGACGCTACGGCGACTTACGTGAGAATTTGGTTATTAAGCAGCTATATATGTACAATTTAGTGACGTTCCACCTTTTTTTTTTATAAAAAGTTGTGTTAATGACAAAATAAACCAATTTCGTTTTTGAGGAAAAAAGTTATATAAATTACAACAACAACAAAAAACAGAACTTTGTTTTGGTTTGTAATTTAATTCTCATGGGATTCTCTGTTTTCCTACATCAAAACACGGCAAATTCCGCATAATAATATAGACTTTCATCTTTTTTAGGGTTAAACTAAATATTTATCCGACATATAATAATATATAAAAATGGAGCTTTTGATCAACAACATTTTTATTCCTGGTTTTAATCGTAAATTTTATTCTTTCAGCACTTTTAAAATTTACGCTGCTCAGTGTGAAACTGAAAATATTCAGGGGAAATTGGCTCTACATCAAATAATAATTTGACATTGTAAGAAAGCAAAATTATCTAAGTAAGGCAAATTCGGTCTATATTTCATAAGACTGTATATTCCATACCTGTCTTAGGTCTATCTGCTTTGTAGCCAGAATTTACTGGAATATTCCTCATGTCTCTGGCAAGTCTTGACATGGATGCCAATGACGATTGAAGATGCTCAACAGTTTCCTCGTCTAACTCTGCTCTCCCATCTTCCAGTTTTGTTGAGGCATCTTTAATCAGAATTTCAACTTCTTCAAAATTATTAGATAGAGCGGCCCCGTCAATCCTTAGCAAAATCTGATTTAGTTCATTCTTTCTTTCAGACATTGTTTTTTAAATTCCGTTTGTAATCAGGGAGGGGTTATTGAATTTTCAAAAAATAAACAAGTCAAAACTTTTTGGTGATGAAGATTTTAATTTTTAATATTAGAAAATGATTTCTTAATATTAGAAAATCAATTTCTAATATTAAAAACTCATTTATTAATATTAGAAAATGAATTTCTAATATAAGAAAATACTTTCGAATTTCTAATATTAAAAAATCATTTTCTAATATTAGAAAAGGATTTTCTAATATAAGAAAAGGATTTTCTAATATTAGAAAAGGATTTTCTAATATTAGAAAAGGATTTTCTAATATTAGAAAAGGATTTTCTAATATTAGAAATTGATTTTCTAATATTAAAAATTGATTTTCTAATATTAAAAATTCATTTCTTAATATAAGAAATTCATTTTCTAATATTAGAAATTCATTTTTTAATATTAAGAAATCGTGTTTTTCTTTTTTAATATTAAAAAATGATTTTCTTATATTAGAAAATGATTTTTTAATATTAGAAAATGATTTTCTAATATAAGAAAATGATTTTTTAATATTAGATAATAGATCTTTTTGTCCACTTTGGCTTGCCATACGGGTCAGCCGGGAATAGCGATAAGGTGTATTGCATAACTGTTAGTTTTGTCTGCATCTATGTATTGTCAGTGTGGATGTAATAGCAATTATTTAGCTTTCTTGCATGGAAAGGAGCGAATTAACAATACACAAAACTTCAAAGTTATATCGTATGTAAAAGGCTATATTGTGCCATCATGGATTATATTCTGGAAATTTGTTCGGTTTATATTAATCTTGAAAAAAGGATTAAAAGTACAGTTTTGTACTAGAATATGTTTTACATAACATCATCATGATGTTCATTTTTACTTTGGTCTTTTGGAAATAAACTGAATTAATTTCAGTTTGGTGGGGTTGTTACGTTGAGGGAAAATAATACTGAATATTTTCAGTCGTTAAGCGATACGTTTATAAATGTAGAAATTAATTGTGGATGTTGCCAGAATTTGGATTAAAATGACATTTTTTGTCATACAGCTGGAATAGGGTTGTCTTGTACGAGTAGTGCTGGATTATTGCTATAAAATAGAAGAAAGTATACTCAGTATTTTAGCTGTGGGAAGCTGCTTTCGGTGGTACATACAGGCAAATTTGGAAATACCTTATGTGCTAGAGAATGGCACTAGGATGGGTATGGACTATTGGTTAGTCTTGTTGCGTATGTATTTTTACTACCTAATTATTGGTTCACCATGGGTATGCTGTCTGCATGGTTAAGGATATTGTTTGGGGGTTACTGGAATACAAGGAATGATTTATTACGATACAGTCCAATTGTTTTATATGACTTTCTAATTTTTGAAATATTTGATAAACAAACAATCAGTTTGTATGGATTCCAGTATCGAAATGTGTGTTTTATATGTTTATATTAATTCCATGGGCTATATGCTTTCGGAGACGTATAAAATTACATATTGGGGCACCCGATCAAGTGGTGCAGTGCTCGTGTATTTTAGACTTATAGACTCTTGGTGAATCAGGATTTATAAGAAGAATGTACTTCTTAATTATTCCAGTGTCTGACAGAATATGGGAGATTAAACTGTTTCAGTACGTGGATAGCTGGCCACAACGAGGGAACATTGAAATTTATATTGGCCTTTTTGCTGATAACTTTGAACGTAACTAAACCACATGGAATTAAATGTTGGGGAACACTTACTTGGACTACTTTACCGATTTAGAAAATCTACTGGACGACTTTTACCATATTTACCTTCCTGGAACCTTGGAAAAGATGTGTGCCTGGATGCTCCGCCAGACTTTATAATTGGATTCCTTACTCCGTGATGATGTCTCGTGATGTATTTGTGACTTTTGAACTTTAAGTTAAAGACTATTGGTTATCTGGAACTATTTTTCAAATTATTTGTTGACATTAACAGTAGATTGATAAATTTGTAACTATATATATATATGTGTGTCTGTATACGAATTTTGGTAAGTATACCTAACCGATATTAGGACTAATGTGTGGGCACATTATGTCTTAAGGTCAAGGATCAGTAAATGACCAGTCCATAGATTTTTTTAAAATTTAGAATTCAATTAGATATTAAAAATATACATCAGAAAATTAAAAAAAAAGTATATGTCACCGACTTCGTTTTCGAGAAAAAGCCATTTTTAAAATGGTCCGAGAGGGTATTAAATTACATTGAATATATAGGAAAAATCCTTATTTTTCTTCTACTCTTTTCGGTTTCCTGTATAAATCACGAGATTCACTCCATAGAATTTTTTTTTAAAATGATGATTTCTTCCTCTATGTCTAACAAATAAGATGATGTGAAAAAAATATATGGTCACCGACTTCGTTTTCCCTCTAGAAACGACGCAACCTCAACATTTTGAAAAAAAACATCAAAAATCGTGACGTCTTCATTTTTATTACATAACGTCAAGTTATCATGGTATGAATTTTCAAAGTTCTTGGTGATGATTACGCATGATGATTATGTGTTTTGTATTGATAGTTTCTTTTTATCATAAGGGTCTGGATAGAGGGTCCTTCATTTATTAATTTTTTATTTTGTACTACCAGTATTGTATTCTTTATTCTTTATATTTAAGCACCTCATCATTCTCTATTCTTTTTTTTTTTTTTTTTTTGCCTGTTATTCTGCAGTTTTTGCCTTTTATTCTGTATTCCGTTAACCCCAGTCAGACCCTCTTTTATGGACACGTATTTCAAACTAAATTATAACTGATACAGTTGTAAAAAATGTGATATGTTCATTATAAATAAACATGTTTAAAACAATTACTAATTCAGAAGAAAATACTGTGTAAGTACATGAACGCAAAAATAATAACATAAAAATAGAAATCAGCCCAATGTCTTGACTCAAAAAAAGATGTTATATAATTATTTTATCTTTTGTGACTCTGGCTTTTTCAAAAAAAGAAGTTCCGATAGGAGATTGGCAACACCATCAGACCCCTCACGTTCGTAAGACTGTGAAACATATTCCACTGAGAATGAGTGTGGTGCCACTTTCTCAGTGGGAAGCGACACATGTTCTACTAGTTTTTGTAATGCTTGAACATCTCCAACGGCATTATGTGCGTCGTATTTGACACCAAGAATGTCAAATACTAGGCTCTCCTGGTTATAACCTTTACCCGTTTGTTTCCTCTCTGGTAGCACAGTTTTCAGCAAAGATAGCGAGTCAACAGAACCCTTACATTTTTGTTCAAAACTATCAAAGAAAGAATTATTCTCCATGGAATAAACTAAAACTCTCGAATAAAAAAGCTTTGCATTGTGTCAGGTAACCAATTAATATAATCTCTCAGACTATCTTGCAGGTCATCTGTTTGCATTATTTCTCCGTTCCGATATAAGATTTGGCCACTTTTTGAAAAACCGGTAACTTTACCAGCGGAACATTTGATAGCTTTTTTGGTACTATATAACGACAGAAAGCGTTCTGCTCATATGCTGCTGCAATTTGTACAGTCGTCTGTCTTACAAAGATTATACAATTGTTTAATAGAATTTTACATCGCATATATCAACAAATATTATCATCAATGAATTTTCTACAAATTATTGAAAAAATGTCGTGTGGTTATTAATACATCTGCAAGTTAACAAGTAAAACACGCATACAAACTGACATCTTTGATAATGTCTTTTCGTTCTGTATAAAATTTATTGTATAAATGAAAACGTTAAAGATTACTTCAAAAGTGAGCACGTATATGCTCGAAGTATATATAGAACCAGTACACGATACACAAAATGCAACAAAATAGTGGGGGTATAGTATTAACATGAAACTATACTAAACTAAGGCTTTGATCAATGTAAACTTCAATAAAAATAGAAGATACATTAGGAACGGGAAGATAAGAATATAGTGCATCAAATACAACACCCTCTGCATAATTTGACTAGTGATTTTTTTGTTTATTACCAACAACACAGAGATAATACAACGATTAACTTAAGGGTCTATATGAAGTGTGTCTCCTTAACTTCTGTATTCTTTAATTATTTTTACTGGCAAATTTCTTTAAGTTTGAATATAACGCTTATTCTGTTTAATCCTCAATAAATGATTTTATTGTAAAATTCTTCTAATATTGCATGATTGGTTTATTCTGTACATGGTTCATGTCTTTAACCACTACACTTGTACATTAACTTATTATTTTATTTTCCATTGTTATTCTTTATACTTTTGCGAACCATTCTTCTCTATCCTTTATATATTTTTTGGCTCTTTTCTCTATTCAATTTTCAATTCGCCATTATCTTTTATTCTGCAAACCCCCTTTTAAATCTTATTATATGTGACAATAAATTAATGTGCATCAGAGAGCAACTGTATTTGACACCAATAAATATAAAAACAAGGTGATGTGGTCTGATTGCCATTGAAACAACTATCCACCAAAGTTCACATGATGTGGATATAAACAATTACAGACTATCGTAGACTACGGACTTAAAAAAGACAAAAAACTTATGTCGTTAAGTCGGTTATAAAAAGCCCCGATTTGAAAAAATGTGAATAAATCCAAACAAGAAAACTAACGGCCTTATTTTTAACAAAACAATTTATACTAATGAAGTTCTTGAAAAGCGTATCAACCCTTAAAAAAAAGCAACCACACACAGACTGAAACATGACTGAAAATTTTGTCTTTAACTTGTTAAATTCCATCTGCACAAAAGCACAACATGTACATCATCAGATGTCTTTTCCTTTTCTATTTTTTGTGGCCTGGTGTTATTGTCTGGTTGCTGTATTACTGAAGTACTTTTTTCATTTTACTTTGGGTACTGAAAGTGTGTGTGCATATTTTTTTATTAGATACACACACATGTATATATTAGTAGTTTGATATCGACATGATCGATAGAATCTCGTTCTTAACCTTCAAGTTGTATGAGTGAAATAGAATTGAGAATAGACGCGGAACCGTAGCTCTTAGGTCCTTATGTTATTT